TGGCAAGAATATATATATATATATATATATATGATGTTGAATCAGAACTGGTACACAATTGACCCTCCAGCAGGTTTTCAGAGGCTGTAAATTACATGGGAGGAGATTGCCCATCTTTGTCTCTAGAAGTAGCTGGTGAATTCGAACTCTTTGCCTTTGAGATGGCAGCACACTCCTTACCACTAAGCCACAAGAGCTTTCCTGCAAAATACCCCCACAAACATATGTGGTACCTATGACAGTACAGGATACTGGTGGCATAGTTCGAAGCCAGTTGCACTACCAACCGAGAGGCTTCTTATTTCTACTGGTGCAAATTCACTAACATATGATCAGTCTTCTCTTGTGATTTACAGTCCCAGAAACATGATGACTTGGATTTGACTTGACAGCAGTTGAAAGGTTTTTTTCTTTGTTTTTAATATATAATTTAGGTCTTACAAATGATCCAAAGTATATACGCTCTCTCATGAGGAATGTTTATAATAGATTAATTGATGAAATTAGGATGTAAATATCCTTATTTGGGGGGAAATAATTTGTATTTGTATATGGAAAAGAAACTAGAATGTTGACAATATTTATCTGTAGGTAATAGAATTATGAAAGATTCTTTTTTCTTCCTTCCCTTTTTCTGTTTTCCCCAAAAATGTTTCTAATCAGCATGTATTATTTCAATGAAAACTTTTATTTTAAAATATTTTTGAAAAGTTTTTGAAGACTTTTAAAAACATTAAAAAATAGGGAGCTCTGGTGACCTAGTGGCAAGAAATTGCACTGCAATCCCAGAGGTTCATGGTTTGAATCCATCAGATGCTCTGCTGGAGGAGGGGCAATCTTCTCCTGTACCACTAACATCTGATTTGATGGTACACACACACACAAAATAACAAAATTTTTTTTAAAATTAGAAAATGCACACAAAAATAAACTAAGTCTCACATATAATGTGCTTTATAGAAAAACAAGTTTCATTAAATAGACTAAAGTTAATGCTGTATATCTTTATATATGGATGAATGTGTGATTTTCATTTTTGTATTTTTTTCCCTAATTACTCTTTCTTACAGTGAATATATATTACTCTTACAATGCAAAGATATGTTTGTAAACAAAGATTATTTGGTCTAGTTTTGAGAATAGCAGATCATGCTCTCTTTAAGGGACTCCTTAATAGGTAATTATGTGACCTTACAAGGCATTGGGTCTTAAACCTGGAAAAGGACAGGTGTATTACTTTTCTTCGTGCTATTACATATCCTTTTTCTGAAAATTTCAGGAAATTATAAACTTTTAATTTGCTGATTATGAAGATTACTGTCTTTTATCTACTCAGAGCATTGTAGCTCTTCTGTGTTAGCTTTGAGAGGTTTTTTTACCCCATTACTCAAAATGACTTGTTGAATTGATTAAACTGCTTCATAACTGCACCTACAGTTCTGATTCATGAATATGAATTAATACAGATTGTTGAAATACATGAAACAAAATACCACAAATATTTTATTATGCATCTGCTATCTGCTAGTAACTAAAAGAGAGATTTAGTGAACAAGAGCATCATCGCCACAGATTCTGTCAAAGTATTATATAAAAGGTGGTGAAACTCAGAGTATTAAAACAGCTATTGAGCATATCTGGAAGAAAATAAGAAATGTCTGATAGAGAGTAGACATTTAAGGCTAAATTTGATCTAACAGTTAAGTTCGGCATTTGATTGGTATTTAGTTTTCCACAGAAATGAACCTCTAGTAGGAATTCAAAGGCTGTAGCTTCCTATATCACTAATCAGCTGTCACAAGTTAATTCTGAGGCATGATTACACATGTGTGTTGGTGTAGAAATGTGCTCCTTGAAATTTTCAGTGGCTTGCTTCTGCAGTGATTCTGAGTTAGAACTCCCAACCTCTAGGTTAGGTACTGAACATTAACCATTTCCACTACTTAACCCCAAAGAGAGATGTGGTAGCCTAAACTCTAGAGAGTTGTGCTGCTAACCCAAATGCTGCACCTCTTTGGCAGTTCGACTCTACCAGTGGCTCTGCAGGAGAAAGATGGGCAGTCACCTTTCATTCGATTTACAGCATTGGAAACCCAATGGAAGATCAGCTGTGAGTTGGTTCTGACACAACAGCAATGAGTGAGTGTCAATATTCCTGCAACATTTTACTCTCCCACTTACAGTATCTAATCTTAACAATTACTGAGCTCCAGCCACTAGAATGAAGAAGAGGGAAAGGCAAAAGGGCCTCCCAGATGAATCTTTTCTCTTTTTAAGCATTTCCAATAACTCCACCTAACAATTGCTACTCAAATCTCTGTTGTCAAAACTAGCCAAAAATTCACCTCTAAAAAAAAATCAGGCCTCTATTAGTAAGGCTATAATTAGAGTGCATATTGGCTATTTATTGATCAAGGACTTTGTCCTCTTTGACTTAGTTGTTATTGTTATTAGGTGTCATTAAGTGGAAGACAACTCGTAGTAACAAGTCTGACCCTTGCCTTATCCTGTGCCCTCCTCCCAGTCTCTGCCATACTTAAGCCCTATGTTGTAGTCATTTTGTCACACTATTCATTGAGGATCATCTTCTCTTTTACTGACCCTCTGCTTTTCCTAGCATGATGTCTCTCTTAGTAGCAACCCCAAAT